CTGTAAAACAATGCACGAATTTTCCTAGGAATTTTCTATGAGGTATTTGGGGATCAGGGTTGCTGCAAATTCTTGTGTGGCCAAAGAGCCGCATTTATTATCGTTTCGGACACATATATAAAACGTTTTAGCGCTTGTCGCTGCCACATGGCGCTTCCATTTCCTTGTTCATTTTCATTTGCAAATATTTATTTGTACATTTCCTTCTAGCACTATTTACCCACTTCCGTTGCACACACTGGCAAGCACACAGATACACAGACACACGGACACTGAGAGGCTTTCATTTTTCACTTGCCAGAAACTTGGCAAATTGCTGACCCAGAGACTGAATACAGCTCTGCAGATGGAGTGCAAAATGCGACGTTTTAGTTTTCATTTCGGTTTGGGCAAATGCCTCCCTGCATTTTGCTAAAACCTAGCCAAAATGCCAAGCCCTTAAGGCCATGTGGAAAAGGAGGCCAAAGCCAAAAAGCCGAACAGAAAGCGTTGGTTCTTATTAAATTCTTAAGAGAAGGCAACTGACTTTTGAATAACTTTTTATTGATGTCCCTCGTCTAAGAGGATCTGCCCGATGCGGCTGTCAGGAATCACCTGACTCGACGAGAGCTGCCAATTAAATGGAACTTAACGAGGCAATTGATTAATTGTCTTATGATTCTTAAGCCAGGCTGTTGAATTAAAGCAGCGGCGAAGCAGCCGGAAAGTCCTGCGGAGGTCAGGTCGCCAGGGAAATCAGCGGACAGTGTGTCCTGCGAATCCTGCCTGGAGCTGGAAGCCCGACGCTGACATGCACATCATAAATGCTTAATGGCCGACACACACGCACTGCAACTGCAACTGCAAGTGCATCTGAATCTGAATCAGAATCAGAGTCTGCATCCTTCGCTGACATTCAACAGCAGTGCGATGCAAAAATTCGAATTGCTCGCAATCGGAGCGGATGTCAGGAATCGCATCGAGATAACTCCATGTGCATTGCGTGTCTGTTAAATTAATAAATAATTGCTCGTTCAATTTCCCGCTGGCTGTCCTCCATTTGCGCACTCCGTTCCGGCAGTTTGCCCGCCTGTCTGTCCGGCCTTCCTTTCTTCATCGGTGTCCGGCGAATTGCGAGATACAAGGCCGAGCCAATGGCTATGGCGTTGGCAATGGCAATGGGCCAATGGCTTTGCTTTTCCTATGCAGCTTTTTTGCGCACACCTGTCCGCAGTTGAGCCAGATTAATTGCCTATTTACCGCTCGTCGGACTCTCGTCTCTACCCGCCTCTATCCGCCTTTTGCCCTGAATAAAATCCATCTGCTGCGTGGCTTTTCCTTTGTTTAATGATAAGCCGTGGCCGAAAATCTCTGACACTGACATGCTAATTAATAAATTATTTTGCAACAAATTAATTAGATCGTTGCGGCTGGTGAAAGTGATTGGTCATGTTGCGGCAAGTCGAAAAGAGCTGGAATTCGGAATTCGGAATTAATTGGAGCGATGGGGTGAAAGGTCTGCTGATTGATGGGTGTCTGAGGTGAGCTATTTTAAGTTTACAAGGATATTCGAAAGTAATTGATTCAATTATTGGAAATATGTAAATTTTATTTTGAAAGTATGAAGTTTTCTTAACTCATTTAAAACTTAAAGATGGTAATCAGCCCCACACACCTACTGATTTCTTATAATAGTTCAAGTTTGATGGCCTGGTTTCTCACTATTTTCGTGATTACCTGTTACCCATCCTTGGGCCTAGTTTTCTTGGCTTTTGTCCAGGCACGCACAGACCCCTGAGGCGTCGTCTGTCATCATTAAAATAATTTATCTTTCCTGAATCTAGTGCGTTGCTTTTTTGCTGACCCACATCTAATTTAATAATAAATATTTTAATTAAAGGAAAGTAATTATTGCCCAATGCTTTTATCGCATGCTCAAGCTTTTGAGTTAATTAAACTGTTTGTTGTTGATGTTTATACCCGTTACTCGTAGAGTAAAAGGATATACTAGATTCGTTGAAAAGTATGTAACAGATAGAAGGAAGCGTTTCCGACCCTATAATAGCTCTATATATATAGCTCTAGCTCGGTCAAAACAAGCGGCAGAGCCAAAAGCTCTACTTTTTTTGTGCTGCTAACGACCAATACTAACCACCCCTATCACCCGTTTTTCGATTTTGGGGAAACCAATTTTGGCCCAAATTTCGCATTTTTGATCATCAAAATTTTCAAAAATGGCCCAAAAATGAAGTTTCTCGGATTTGAATGCAAATCGATTGGGAATCATTACAATCAAAATACGAGCCATACGAGGTATTCCATTCCATATTCGGACTATTTTTGGCCGTGCTATGGCTAAAAAACTGATTTTTTTTGTGTCCAAAATCACGTATACGTCGGTTGACAGCAGAGGGCCCGGCTTTTTTGCAGTTTCTTAGCTCTAACTTTGTCATAACAAGCCGCATCGCTAAAACAATGACTGTTTTACGTAGCTTACTACCGAAACTTAACACCCCTATACTTGCTTTTATCATTATTGTTCTGATTTTTTGGTGCGAGCTCTGTTTAAAGGGCTAAAAAATCAGGAAACCGATTTTTAGCAGAAATGTGCAAAATTATCTTAGGGTTTTAAGCTCTAGATCGGTCAAAACAAGTCGTACAGCCAAAAGAACGACTGTTTTGTGCTGCTAACGACCAATACTAACCACCCCTATCACTCGTTTTTCGATTTTGGGGAAACCAATTTTGGCCCAAAGTTCGCATTTTTGATAAGGGGTACCATCGTCAAAATTTTCAAAAACGGGCCAAAAAGGAAGTTTCTCGGATTTGAATGCAAATCGATTGGGAATCATTGCAATCAAAATACGAGCCATACGAGGTATTCCATTCCATATTCGGACTATTTTTGGCTGTGCTATGGCTAAAAAACTGATATTTTTGCGCCGAAAATCAAGTATACGTCTTTTAACAGCAGTGATTTCGGTTTTATGGTTTTTATTTTGTTTTTATTTGCTTTTGGTAAAATAGTTGTTAAAGTTTTATGACAGCCGCATAAAATATGAATTCCGTCTGCTTTCAATTACAAAAGCAGAGCAGAAAAAACAAAGCAATTTCTGTTTAAATATCGTTTATTACTTTGCGCTCAACCATTAATTAAGGGCAAATGCCGGGCGATTATTGCGTGCCAGGCGAGAGCAACCTGCCGCACCCGTGACCAAGCGACCGCCTGCCACCTGCCTCTTGCCCCTTTGCCCTCTGATCCTAGGATGCTGCCACCTTCCTCACCCCCTCCCCTTCGTATAAAAACCATCTGGCATCTTGGCGAAGGGCAAATGAATGCGGAGACAATTAATTGTTGCGCTGTGTGTTCAGTTCGCGCTTTCAACATTTCATCTGCAGTTGTCAGTTACTTTTGTCGTAAGCCTCAGTCCGTTCCTCTTCAGCGCCCTAACCCCTAACCCCTCTACCTCCTCACCGTCATCGTCATCATCATCATCCCACTGCAGCACGCTTATGATAAATGAGTTGTTTTCACAATGCGGTGGCAAAGTCCGCCGCCTTTGTGTGTGCAGCGAGCATTTAATCCTTTGGGCTTCAAGGCATTTCAAGCGGCCATTCATTTAGTTTCCATTCCCAATGCAGGAGCCACTTAGCGCGATACCCTCGGCTGTGGGCATAATGAGCACCCGGTCGCCAAAGCCCGTTTTCAGAAAGCATCCTGGACTGAAAGATATTAGTAGGCCATAGCTTGTAAGGTTTTTCCTTCGATGGGATTATGGTAGTGATTTTTTTTGTATGTATTTAAATCAAAGAAACTGACTAGAAACTAACAAGCCTACATTTATTTAGGCATTCAATCAAGGAAGTAAATATATAAAGTAAGTTTATTTTTTTCCCATCATTTTATATTGATAAGAACAAATGTACATAAACTTAAGTTTTCCCTTTCGAACCAAGGTCTTACCTTTCTCAACCAGGCATAACTTTGGCCACAGCTTCTACACTCAAAGTTTAAACTACATATACATTTCTCCAAGTGTGGGTGGTTAGTCTGCCAGTGGCATAAATAGAGTCGCTTTAAAGCGATCCACAACCGAACAGGAAAAGTTTGCTCGGCCAAGTTCGCGCCCAATGCCCAAGTGGTGGGTGGCCGAATGGGAATGTTGCAACTAGCAAGTTGCATGTGCTGGCACATTCAGAGGAAAGTTTACCACTTCGGCTTTGGCCAGTTTGGAGCACACCTGGGTGCCGCATAAAGCACATGGCCATATATTTATTTAATACTGCAAATGCCAGCCCCCCAACTTTGCCGTGCACTTGGCCAATTAATGTGTCAAGGGCCTGCATACGATGATGATGGTCATGATCATGATGATGATGATGATGGGTGGGTTGGGAAAAGTGATTGGAACGATTCGAATATCCCACTGTGTGCATATTCGATTAACCAAATCCCGGCGGAAGCGCGTGCCACAACTTTTGTAATTTATTATTTTGCTTATTTTGTCAACAGAACTTACAAATCCCTGCCCCCGGACGAACAGAGTCCTGACAAGCCGCCGCAATGCGACCAAATCACATATAAATTATTGCGTCAAATTGAAGCTGCTGGCCGACCCGAAAGCCGATTTAAAACTTGACACACTGTGACAGATATACACATGTGTATTTATCGCACGCGGTCCAGGTCGAAACGGTATCGGAATCCAGCACATAAGCCGAGGGCATTAAATATTTTATTTTATTTTTTAACTCTGCTATGTTTTGCCCCCTCGAAAATCCTGAAAATAAGCTGGAAGTGTGTTCTCGCTTTCTATGGCATCCTGTCTATCGAATACGCATGGCAAATGTCTCCACAGGGGCCTTTTCAATCATAATGCTTGCTGAGTTGAGGGATGTTTTATGATAATTTTTGGAAAAGTTGCCTAGGATGATGGGAAAACAATCTTTTCAGCTGAAATCGAATTTAAAAAATTCTAAAAATATGTAAAAATAGTGAAAACATGCGCCAGCTTAGCAGATTGCTTTTTAGAATTTTTGTCTTGCTTGCAATTCTTTTTCTTATTGGTAAATTATCGAATTATAAGAGTTCCTGGATAATTGTAAATTTGGGGACATTACACACTACTACCAAGGAGGCAACAATTTAATGGGTGAAGGGGTACAGCCGCCATCACGAGTCCAATGCACGACGAGTTCCGCATCGGTTTTCTGCTCGAGGAACTTCAATGGATTCTTCTTTGCAACAGGTTGCTCCCTTGGTTGTTGCTTGATGGCAACGCCACATTTACCTTTGGGATCCAATTTTGACTTGCCTGCATGAAGTTTATATATATATTCTTTTCTTTTTTCTTTGTTACAGTTTATAGAAGGACTTACGCAAACATGACTGCTTGGCTGGTTCAAATCCGTAGTTTTCAAGTACTCGACGAGGCATTTTGTTTAACCGAAATCAAGGCACATATACTTAACCAATATTTATACACTTTTACTACACAGTGCGTGTACTCAAAAGTGACACGTAAGTCGTAGCAAATCGTTTGCTGTGATACAAGCACGTGAATAATCCCTCAATTGTTGTGCGGATCATGACGCCTCTTGCCGGGGGCTGGGGATTGGGGGTGTGGGTATACAACATATTACCCATCCGCAGTACTGTCATCGTTCCGCTGATAAATCTAAAGAGATTTGTTGCGCATCCATCAAAGTGAGCATTCTTATTATTCAAAGTACTTACACTTGCAAACGAACGTTTCGGGCAAGTGCGTGTCCTGGTGTCCTGGTGTCCTGTTTGCCTCCTGATTCTGATATGTTAAGGAGCAACAGTGGCAAAATCCAAGGAGCACAGATAAAAAGTAAGCGCCACAAATAGCACACTCACACACACAAAATCCATTAACTAAAGTGTCAATTTAGTGACAGAGATAAAACGTCACACGCACAAAGACTTGGACTTGGACACACGCACACATTGAAACACAAACAAACACACATATGTCCTTGTGGGGTGGCGAGGAAAAACTGAACGTAGGAGAATGAGAGAGACAGTGGGGGACAGGAGAATGTCAGTGGAACTGCCTTTCCAAGGCAAATAGCAGAGCACAATGAATGACAGCACTTTGTATTTTTCCACGTTTTTTTCCTCTGCACTTCCTTCCATTCGCCTTGCTCTGCTCCTTTGGCTGTTGCGTGCTTTCTTCTTTATTTGTTTGCTCATGTCAAAAGATCTTGGGATAAAGTTATCGTTATCGGTTTTTTTGGCATTGTCTGCATTTGCTTGGCTAGGTCAAAACACCTGTTACGTGTCACATTCTCTTGTCTCTTGGCTGCGTTACGCATACGCCGCATAGTCCGCCAGTCCCTTAATAAGCGATTGCAACTTCTGAATAGACAACTGATGTCTTATCTGAGGTGGCACAAAAAGTGGTAGGAAAATGTTGAAAAAAACATGACAGACACGGCAAATTGGATTTTTAATTCCCTATCTTAACTTCTAGTCTATATAGAGGCCTAGTTGAAAATGAAAAACCTTATAGGCAAAGCAAAACCCTATTTTGTGGACAAGTGTATGCGGCCAAAGCCGATACACTCATGTTACAGAAAGCCGAAAAAGAGGTGCGAATACAGACCAAGACCAAAAAGTGAAATGCGCTTAAAGACAAACCACAAGTGAAAATTGTTTTTTGTTTTTATTTCTTTTTCTGGCACTGACGCGAGTTCTGGATCCTTTGGCGAATTGTCTTGCAGGCATTTCGTATGCGCCACGCAATACCGCAAAGCGGCACAAAGTGCAAGTCAATATAAGAGGCAGCGGATCGGGAAGGAGCTCTTCCTTTCAATCCATTGCCTGCCAATCGAGAGTGCGGTGCGTGCTCACAAAATTTCCAGAACTAAGCAAACGTCGGCACACACATAAGCAGGGCTCTGGAAATGTTTCGATGATGGCAAGGATTGGCAAGCATTTGCTTTTATGCAAAGTACGGCAAATTGTATAAGCTGCATTGAAATTCAAGAGCAGACGCAGAACCACTGATAAATGACAAGCTCGTGCGAATGCAGCTTCATCTCGGCCACTCGAGCCATTTGCACCAGCAGGCAGCAAGCAGCAAGGAGCTTGAATTGGAGACACCAGGAGTGCCATAACGATGCCACCATGCCTTGTGTGGCAGCAGAAATAGAAAAAGAAATACAACAGAAAAGAGATCAACGGCAACAGAGGCGTGTAAATTGAGAGGAATTGCCCGACACGTTTTAATTATTGGCCCGGCCGGGACAGCCCTTTGGGGGCGGAGCACTTCATTAGGCCTCTGGCGCGGCTCTAAGTAAGACATGCATATTTTTCATACTTTACAAAATCCACAAGCGGAGCGAGGCTCAATTATTCAAAACAGCTCCACAACCCGAACCCGAAAAAAAGCTGAGAAAAAAAGTTAGGTAGTTAAGGGCACGACTGAAAGATACCCTTTGAGGAAGAAAGGGTGCATAAAATGATTAGTTTTAAATAAATGCTGTTTAATTTGTCTTTGTAAAATTAAGTTTTATGGATATTAAAATAGTGATAATATTTTAATATCTTCCGCCGCAGCAAATACTAAATTATTAGTCTTACAAAGTTTAAGCCGCCTTACAGATCAGTTGATATCTCTTTTATCTTAACTTAGCCGAATACAATACACCCTTTAGTCAACGATTAACGGGTATATAGAGTAGAGATAAGGGAGGTTGGGTGGCCTAGACACGGGTACTCCCTTACACGACATTGACTAATGTTGATATGTCGTCGTTTTTTGTTGTCGGTTTTTCCCAGCCTTGGCCTGATGGTTTATTTTTGATGTGTGTGCAGTTGAGCTTTGGCGACGTGCGTCTCCGGCACCGAAGGACGCTCGGATGTTCGGATGCTGGAGTACCGGGGATACTGGGGATATTGGGGATACTCGGATTCTCGGATACGGGTATACTCGGGTGGTCGTCCCTTTTGTAGCAATTGCTGTCGTTGCTGCCAATTTGCTGCTGTGCGTTTTGTCCTGTGACAGGAAGCGTAGGCTCTATTGCGCCTCTCCCCTGTGTGGATGTGTCCTTCGAAAAGCAAAAGAGTGGGTGGGTGGGCACGTTCTGACGTGACACATGGTTGTAAAGGATTTTCTTGATGATGTTATCGTTAATGGTTGCATGGTCGCAGCTTAGCTCAACTCTTGGTTCAGTTCGGCTCGATTTCGCATCAGTTTCAGGCGAAGCTTCAGCTCCATCTTTTGGCTCGACATTGGCAGATCGTTAGCGCTCCCAGTGAAGTTTTGGCAAACGTCTACCACATCTTGAATAATGATTCTGTTGATGTAACACACCGCCCATTTCGAGATGGGATAGTCAAGTCTTTAAAGGCGACCCTAAATTCATCCCACCGGATTGTATTCAAAACAAAAACAACAAAGCAATACATTTTAATTAGCCACCCGGGCCCAAGGAGTCGGTGCTAATTCAACTGGCTGACCATTGCCAGGCAAATAAGCTTTGGCGGTTTGCTGTTATGTCATGTTTTCGGTTGGCGGCGGCTTTGTCACAAGAGTGTCGTAGTTGTTATTGTTAATTACCTGGCGGGTGGACGTGAGTGGGACCGGGATAAGAAGGCCTTGACGTAGCTTCGTTGCCTGTTAACCCTGTTGGCTCCCAGGAATGCTAATTAAAATTGAAGGGCCCAGACTGGGCAGCAGCAGTGGCAACAACAGGTAGCAATTCCTGGCTCGCTTATTTGCCCTGGTAAGTTATTTGGCTTGAGCCTCGAGATGGTCTTAATTCTCGAATAACTGATTGCCAGCCCAACCAGATGGAACAGAATGCACTCAGCTTGGTCATAATGCAGCACTTAATGTCTTATTTAATTTAACCACACAACATAAATTCATCATGAAATGAGGCAGGAATTCATTTCGGGTTGAAATGCACCGGTGCCGGGCGCGTCTGCATTAAAATTCTTATTAAATGATATGCACTAGCCGCAGACATTTTTTCCGGCCTTTAACAACCATGTTTGGCCGCCATAATGCAAAAACACATGGCAACATAAATATCTGGAACTGGGTGGTCCTGTCTCCTATCTCCTATCTCCTGCATTCGAGCTCCTAGCAGCTGGTTAGCCGCACAAAACCTATGTTGACCGCACATTAATTAACCTTGAGGGGGGATTGGAGGCAAGGAGATATATTCGGCCAGAAGCTGGATGCCCAAAATATATAATACATGTATACGCAACGTTTTCGTTTGGGGTGAGTTCTGGGGGCATAAATCATTTTTGAATTGCGGCAGCGCACCCTCAAATTCTGGTTATGTCAATCCATTACGAACTCTCGATAGGTGTAAACTTATTGGGTTGATGGCGTAATTTATATGCCTACCAGGGAATGCCCTTTCGCCGTTTTCCCAGCTAATTAGCTGAGGAAAAAGCGAACGGGGAAACAGTAGGTAAAAAGAGGTTCGGCGAAAACGGGCACAAAATTTTTTTTGTTACAACTGCAGCTTCATTGTCTAGTCAATT